CGCACCTCGTTGGACATTGAGACGCGTTACCGCGTCTCACCCTTATCATCCCTTTTTCTAGGGCATGCGCAGCTTTTCCCGAATTGTTTGTCTCTCTTCTATGGATTAGAACATAACATTATTGTGAACGACATAGGTCATTGTTTGTTCAAATATGCTCCAGTTTAGAAGAAGTTTTCCAAGCTCACCGAAACTGGCGGCTTGGTTCATTAATAGTTTTCATGCTATTCTCATGAACACGTCAATAAAAAAGGGTAGTGAAAGTAAATGCAAATCTAAAGAGACAGAAAAATACATGTTTCACTTGGTATAACCACATCAAAAGAGCTTTTGGCATCCACTACAGATAAAATGACTAAAGTTTCCTTTTTCATTACCATTACATGTTCTTTAATCGGAACTTCGTCACTATATACTCTATTACCTTCTACGCATTGACTGTTACTGAGATGTTTTTGTACCACTGGTGCTTTAAAAAGTTATCAATAAAAATTCACGGATCCGAGGTGCGGCGGTCGCACTCGCAAAATCGGCCCGGTCCCACACGGCCAAAAAAGCCAAAACGCGCGCGGTCGTCAAATGTTGTGTTAAATGTGGATTGCACGATTAGAGGACAGAGCGTTTGATATACGCAAAAGGACACTCGTGAAGAAAAAAAAGTCGAGGAAGCTAACACTTGGAACATTCAGCTTTATGTGAGTGTCTTTTCCTTTTCATATGCGAGGTGGCGGAGGTGGATTATAATAAGAAGAGACACTGGCTAGCTAAAGAGTCAGTGTATCGACTGGAGTAAAGATTGTGCAAGGATCGCAGACATCCGCCGCCCTAGACCGTTGTCGTTGCGAATATAAAGTCTGCCAGGCCTCCCAGCACATGTGGCGACTCAGTAGCCCATGTCCGGTTCGCAATCCGGCCGCAGTGGGGCGCATCAGCGCTTGCGTCAATTTTTTTCTCCGAGGGTGAAACTCTTACTTCTATTCTACTCTCTTTTCGGCACTAGAAAAAAGACTAACTTCTCTCTTGTCACGGCATTGTTCTATTCGTGGCCGCATGCGGCTTTTGTTTGTATCTGTGATGAAGAATGTATACGAAAAACAGATAGTTATGTCGCAAAAAAAGGCTATATCTGAAGAGGAGGAGGAGCGAGATGTGATCTTGCTGTAGTTTTATAATTTCTTTGGTTTTTGAAAAGTTGGGGTATGCCTTCGTTCGGACCACGAATTGTGCGTCCTTGAAGAATTCTGATGTGGCCATAATTAAGACTAGTTGTTTTTTTTATAAAGTACTTTATTAGGTCGGCGATGATGCCCATTATTTTGAGTTGGTCCTGCTTTCAAGTAGCTAAAGCTTTTTGTTCATTCACTGGACTGAGAAGGTCTCAGTATTGGCCATGGATCTTTGAAAGTGCCGGAAAACACATTTCCCGGTTTTACCAGAAATCAGCAAAAAAGAAACTTAAAAGGCTGGCGTGCGTTTTTTGAACATATCGAAGTAACTTCCGAGTTTAGTTCTTTGCAGATGGAGGAACGAGAAGAACACGTGCAGTTGGGATGGCGACGAGATTGACTTCATTCGAATGAAAGGATCGTGGGGCCAATCCGAAGGCGACACGATATTTGGGAAATCTGATCAGGCCGGTAAGTCCTCACATTACGAGGAATTTTCGAATGAGTGAGCCATTAGGACAAAAAACTTGATCCTCGAGAAAGCAAATCATATGAATATACTTCCTCCCTTCGCCCGGCGAAATTTCGTAAGATGGAAGTGTGTCAAGTGGTACAAGGATCGACAACTATAGAAACACCAATCATGATGGTGTGAGATGCAGGTGTTGTGAGATCATAACAATGTCGAAATCGCTAGAACGAGACGGGTAGCACTAAGTAAGAACCAGTAGACGAGTGCTGACGCTAATTCAAACTCATACCACCTATCAAATCAAATCACTTACAAAAGTGAGTTTTTGAAAGTGAGAAGAACGTCTTGAAGCGAAATCGAACAATTTGGAATAACAGTCGAATTATTCTGGAGCAGAAATCGAATTACCCTGCAAATTTATGCAACAATTCGATAATTTGCTTGGCATAGTCCCTGAGGCTTAACGTTATCGCATAAAGTCGGTGGTGAAACAAAATAAGAAAACGGCAACTATAGTCGCCAAAAAATCTTAAATCACAGCTGGAGAAAATTCTGTGTTGATAACTTTCTTTTAAGGGTGCGCCATGCACTTCACTTCCATTCATAATAATGGTGGCATTTTAAATGCGACTCGGCTTGCACAATTACCATTAGTGGCCAACCGATGTGAAGTCAATCTTTCCATCCTCCTAAACATGCTCAAAAGGATAAAAAGGATAAAGCATTTGCCGTTGATCAATCCCGTTTTGGGATGCGGCACGCATTCTACTTCCATTTGTACATTCGCAGTGGCGTTTGAATGCGATGTGGCCTATACAATGACTTGCGGGGGCCAGCCGATGTTCAAGTCAGTGTTTTTATCCTCCCAGACAAGTCTGGTACCAAACCGACCCCGGAGGGATGGAAGGCTTTGGTTGGCCCGGGCGACTCACGACCCAGGATTTGATCCCCGGACCGCTCGCGTGGTAAGCGCGCCACTTGTCACTACACCACTTCCCCCAGAATGTTTGGTTACAATTAATCAAACAGGAGGATATGGGTGGCTTGATTGAGGTGTACGGCTTTCGAACCAGATTTTGATTCCCGGAGCGAGCGCGTGGTAAGCTACCCTAACAAGCCTTTTCCGCCCCTCACAAAAGACTCACAATGAATATAAAAATTAGTTTGCATTTTTCGATACATTTTTTCAATAAGCTCATGTTTATATGAACCCATCCTTTGCACTCTTATAGGTTCTCCGATCTCTGAAGCCTGTACGAATCGTACTCCCTTCACGAAAATATACAGTTAATTCCACCCAATATGCCCTCTCCGATGGGTAAAATACAGGCTCCCATAGAGGAATCCTGTACGCTGGTTTATCTTCGTCTTCTTCCCCGAGAGGATTTGTAGACGCTCGTATCCCCAGAAATTAAACGCGTCTTAAAAAATTGAGCGTGTGACTTTAGGTATTAACACTACTACTTGGTTTATGAAGATTCAACTTCCTACCCTCTATTTCAGAAAACGAGAAGAGCGTCGAGTGCAGACCACACACCACAAGTGACGACGGCCAAGAAAAAGAAAGAAAAAGCCACTTTTTTTTGGCCGTCGTCACTTGTGGTGTGTGGTCTGCACTCGACGCTCTTCTCGTTTTCCGAAATAGAGGGTAGCTACTGATGAGAATAAAAAATTAGTACATTTCAAATGATTTCAGGAGCCTCCATATTCACATTCGAATTAAAATTCGGAAGCAAACTCGAAGTTTTTTTTTCTGAAATTTGGGTTGATTGTTTTATTTTGAGAACTTATGATTTTTTAGGTTTAGCAATTTGTATATTTATGTAAATAATTAGAGTTGTAAGGTTCCGAAGCAGAAGCAAAGAAGCAGCAAAAAGCAAAGAACTAGAAGCATGTCATGAACAAGTCTAGCTCAGACTTCATCTATCTAAGAATAACTGGCTCAAAATTCAATTGTTCAAAATTACCACGCAATTACATGGCGTGCTAATGTGTTTTTCAGATGGATATTTTCTGATTGCTGGTTCGCAGCAAAAATTGTCGCCAATGAGCTCAGCAATGTTGGTCAGTGATCCTATACAGTGTCAGGAAGGTGATGGCACTCTCAAGCTGAAGTTCTGGGCATCGCCCAATGTGAAGGTCAGGGTCTGCACAAGGTACGCCGAATTTTCACGATGAATCGGAAATTGTTACTAAAAAACGGAAATTACCTGTTAATAGAAAACAGACCATAATCAGGAAATGCAAATCTAGCAAAAACAGCTTAAGTATACCCCTTATCTACCTAATATAGAACACTTTGCAGTTGCTAATTTTGTTCTGGAAAATGCACTTTCAAGTGAGGACGTGGATTTCATAACTGCATCGCGAAGCTCAAAAAGGGTGGTAAATAAAAACACACTTGCAGGGGAAAGCTGAGTTATGAAAAAAATGACGTTGCCCCAGGCAGAAAATGGATCCATATCTCTCACTTCACGGACTCGATTACACCATCAGAACGGCGTTTGACCTTAACTTAAAGGCATATGCCATGAAATTCGGATTTGGGACATTTGCTCACCAAAAGAAAGGTAGAGGTGTGAGCGATGAAATAGTGAAGAAAAAACAAAGGAATTGACCTACAACGAACAATTCCAGAAAATTGGGGCACTCGTTCTACCTGTTAATTTTCGCTCTGGGCAAGCCAGGGTGCAAGCCAGTGTTTCGTTCGGATCTGTAGAACCCGACAGCGTATATTATGCCAACAATCATCCTTGGATTGGTATGGATATCTAGGGCGCTCCTTTTAATATTAGGCCTCATGGAGGCAGGACAGGGCTCCCAACGATGGTGACGGTCACCACGGGTAAGGTTTCGTGTGCAATAGCCCATCTCGAACGCGCCACGCCTACATCCATTAAGGGCTTAGGCTCTTCTACAGTCTTATACTATGCCTTGATGCTACTGCTTGGGCTTACCAAAACGCCCTCTTCATTAATCGCAAACTCGTCCGCTCTTGAAATAAAAGAGCGTGAGTAGTGTCTTCTTTCTCGGTTTTCAACAGCTCTGTTTTTTTTTACAGATGCACCATTTGGTACCCCTTTCCAATTTCCATTTACTACCACTTCCCATTTCAACGAGACCAGCTCAAGCGAAAGCTGTATTCTGGGCTAAACGGTCAAACAGACTGCAAAAAAATACATTCAAAATGTGCCGTCCTCAGGGTTGATCGTGCATCCACTGTCAAGCCCATTGAAATGCGCCATGCCAGCAACCCCTTCTGAAAATGGAGACGTCTTCGTCATTCTGTTCAGGTCTTACATGCAATAACAGCGGCTTGAGTCAAAATCAGAGCAATTTTTACTCTCTTAAGCAAAACTTGGACCATTCAAACAGGGCCATGCGTGTCGAGAAAACACGTATTTGTGGCTAGTCGAATGTATTATATATAAGGGGGAGACAAAATCGTTGTTTGTCGCTGGTGGCAACTGGACGTCGGGATGAGTTAAATAAGGAGGTTATTTGTAATTTTTCGAGGGGATTGAGATAGCCGTACGTGGCTGGAGGTGCAGATGTAGCGAACATAGAATTTTCCTGAAAAAAAATTAGGAAAAAAAACTCCCACCGATATTTAGCAAACATTAAAACTTTTTCGTAATTCTTATCATTCAAGCAGTTTTCTTTCACGCCACTCCGCCCCTTTCCCCTTCAAGAGTTTTTCGGGAGCGAAAGCAAGTCAGGTAGGACCACATTTGCTTGCACTACGACAACCATCATAAGCAAAGGGGGAAGGCCGGGTCAACCGCGCATTGCGCAGCTCTCAAAGAGGGGGTCGGACTTGAGTTTTCTTTTTCGGAGAGAGGATCGTATTTTGGGTTGGTGAAGGTCAAAAGGTAGAAGAAAGAAAGATCGTACGTAGTAAAAGTTAGAGGATTTTTTGTTTAACATGGGGTGAGGGTGGTGGTCGGGTGGGGAAGGGGTGCGAATTCTGATTGAACCAGATTTTCACTCTCTGATAGGAATTCAGGCACTTGATTAATAAAGAAGTCAAATTAAATCAAAAGGACAACCTTTACACGGTACAAGTTTGTACTGTGAGGCTTAAATCACTGCGGAGATCTTAAGTGACGCTTGCTGGCTTACTGATGTCAGCACTCTGGTCTTATCAGTCACCTAGCCAACTTATGGACATGGATGGTTAAGAAAAGGTCCACACAGAAATCGCCGCACCAACTGCCGCGCGCGACGATTCTCGCCGCGTGAGCGGCGTGACCTCATTAGCCGACGATTGAATTGACCGTCTCCCGTGGGGAAGAGGTCGTATTGGGGGAGACTACTAAGGCTGCTTCTGGTGGTGGTGGGGGTTGTATCGAAACCCCTAAAGAGGTGAGGGGTCCTAAAATTCTTGAAATCTGCGCAACGCACGGTTGACCGTATGAGGGAGTTCGCAATGATCTCGAAACTTGCCCAGCGCGACAGTAGAGCTCGGCAAGAAGTCTATGGGTAAAGGATATGGAAGTAAGGCGAGGTTGATGTAAGCAGATAATGAGCTCAAAGGAAGGTAGTTTGTAGTGATGAAGTCGAACATTACTGTTCTTTCTCGTCCCCCAGTCCACCCAGCCCGCCCTTCAGGACCCCATCGGATTGAATGCGCATGCTTGAAGCAGAAAGGTGGATTGTGAGGATAGTAGGGTTTGGGAATGCATAAGAATCTATCTGCCCACTGGAGAAAACTGCAAGGTAAACCATCGAGAACGCTCTTCCAGAGACAGCCCTCATGACACAGTTTATTTTGGAAAGTTATCAGCCGGCTGCAAGAAAAAATTGTGTGGCGAGAGGAGAAGGCGACGGTAAAAAGTCGAAGATGCATAGAAATGAGCGAAACGCATGCGCGGTCCGCGAACTCACTTCTAGGGGCAGTGCGGGTGAGGGGCGGAGTCACGAGAGAAAAATTGAACCCTATTTTCCCGCCTCGCAACTCGCGCCGCAATCTTGGTGCAACCAGTGCACTTGCGGACAAGGATACATTTTTTCGTGCAAGCAGTTGATTCTTCGAAGCAATCGTAAAATGTGCATTTGAATGAGTCTAATTTCGCATTTCCAGTTCCTCTGGAAAGGAGCACTTATAGACGAATCCCGAGAATCCTTCTCAATAGTCCTGATTAATACTAATTTCAATACGACCGCTCAAGAAAGAACAGCTTATTGGGAAAACGAAATGTCTTTCAGAGAAAAAAAATTCTAGAGCTCAATTAAAGCTTCTGAGACTAATTCGCAGTATCCAGCTACTTAGAAGTAGCAGTGCAATTTTTTTTGAATACAGTACCATGTTTCAATGTATCGTTGAAAGGAGACCGTCAATGGGCAAGCGATATCAATGGTGCAGTGAACCGCTGAAAAGAAATGGGACAAAACTGGCCAAAGTGATAATTCCAGGAACAATTTGGTACACATTCGAGGTAGCGTTGACTTTTCTTTGAGATCGTTATCTTGTAATACATCTAACAGACGCTAACAAGTTTGAACCTTCACCCTCACCCCCCGCCCCCACCAGAGTCAACCCTGCGTTGCGCAGTTCGCAACGGCACGTTGAGAGATCCTCAACGCACGCTGTATGGGCGGAGACGCAGACGGCTCGAGCATGCGAGTGTGAATGTTCGCGCGAGAGAACGTGTCTAATCGGGCGAAACTGCGCAACGTGGCCGTTGAAAACTGCGCAACGCAGGGTTGACTCTTCTGCCCCCACCTCGTCACGAAGGAAACATAGAACTGATAATATCAGAGATGGCTATGTAGTCACAAGAGGCTCCGCACAGGCACGGTAGGGATCGAATTCAAAACAGGAGTTACCCCGCGGAAACTATGCCTTTCCTTGAATAAATGGTACTACACTTGTCTGGAGAATCACATTTTTTAGCGTTACGGCCATGAACCGCCGTTCATTCAACTATAATCATATAAAATGAGTAGTTACTTCTTATATGATAGTAAAGTGCATTGCCCGCACTAACACGGTTTCGAAGGAAAAAGATATTTCAAATCTTTTAAATCGCTTCCCCTTTCGTTGATGAAATAGAACTCTATTTGACCCACTTAACACAATAGGGTTTAACAGCCAATAAGATGACGAGTAATTTGGCGATATTCTCAATCCGGACAAGGAAGGCCTATCGGGTATCATGGCCATTCAAGGAGTGATGTACCGCTAGACGCTGATCTCAAATCTACCTTCCAAATCTGCTAAACGATTCTCTGAAGGGAGTTATGAAGCAAAACAGCGCAACGGCAGTGGTCGGGATTTGCAGTCAAAACGTCGTAGGATCGGCCCCTGATCGCGTCTACTGTTTTGCCTTCTTCAGCAGTACAGCTAAAAGGCTTTTCATAGCCTATTTGGTCTAATTCGTGAACAACGCAAGACAGTAAACGCGATCAGGGGCCGAACCTTCGACGTTTTACTGAAAATCCCGACCACTGCCCGTTGCGCTGTTTTGCTTCATAACTCCCTTCAGAGAATCGTTTAGCAAATTTGGAAGGTAGATTTGAGATCAGCGTTCAAAGGCACATCTAGCGGTATACATCTCTTCTTGAATGGCCATGGCGACTTGGGAGCCTTTCCTTGTGAGAAGGCACAAAGGTACTCAAGCGCTGGAGGGTTACCATCAGTGGATACCGGATACGGCCCATAATACGTGTGGCATTCTAGCCGAGGTCCGTACGACTTACCAAATAGTGCGAGCGGCACCGCTCCTAGATGAGCCAGCGCTTCTGAACATAGTGCTACTTCTGAGTGCGAACTTCCCGAACTGTGAGCGTTCCTAGGTTACCCGACAGTGAAGCTCGTCGCTCCGCAGAAGGCAGAGTAGGCGGATGAGTTGCAGCGGGTACTAATCGCTTACCTGTACGGCCTGCATCGCCACCGCACGCGTTCAGACTTCTGCCTTCTTGTTCGCGCGTTGGGCCTTGCGGTTACCGAAGTGTCTAGTTTGAAGCAGTAAGTATGGCAACGTGCTGGTATCTCTTGGCGCAGTTGGCTCACCTTAGGCTGACATACATGTTGGTCCATTTCTGGTTCCTGCTTTCGTTTGAATGGTTCTTCTCAATAGAAGCCCCCCACCGAACTGAACACCGCGACCGTACCCCCACTACGCTACACCATGGTGGTCCGACGCTATTCGAGTGTACAAAAGAAGCGTTAGGAGTTCGATGTATTTCAGGGCAATATGCTACACAGTGATATGGAGGCGGGCTCAGCTCAGGAAAAACTGCTTTAGATCCATGTAAGACTCACGAGTTTCATGCTTTATCACGTTGTTCGCTGCTAAGCGCAACGCGAGTAAAACGAAGTTGTCCGCAGATCAGCTAACTAAATTTCTTTTCTAGTTCTTTCAAGATACTAATTAGTTGCACATTCATATTCAGCATGTAGTCGAGGCGTACAACTTTACCCTGGACGCTTTCGGCAAACAAGGCGGTGCTGCTATCATCGATGACATCTCCTACAATACAAGTGCGGTGTACCAGTGCCGCATGAGTAAGGATTTCAGTCTATCTTCTCTTTTCTTCTTTGATTTGCATTTTTGGGTGTGAGGGAAAGGAGAGGTAAAATATAAATGAAAAACCATTGCTGAAAATGTGCGCAAGTTCAAAATGCTTCACAGCTCCCATCAGTGAAGTAAGTGCATCATCACGCTTAGTGGGATTGTCCTGCATGGGTGTATAAACACGACATGAGAGAAATAGCCACGGAAAATTACTGTACCCTGAGCGTGTAAAATTTTACAATTTTTACCCACACATGTACGTCACAGCTTAGCGAGACGGCGTATTTTTTTCGCTTCATGAGCGGTTTCATTAAAAAAAGTACAGTAACTCAATAGTCTCTGATAAGGGATTGTACTTTCTGTGATAAATCATGCAGTCATTAATGCATTCGCAAGGCAACCGATAACATGTAATACTCCTTGGATGTTTCCAGTCGCAATTAGGTGGATAAAAGTGATAGCCAAGAACTTACACTTGCACTAGAACTACTGTGGAATTGGCCTGTTGCAGGATAGAGGATAAATAAAAAGGATAAAGCATTTGCCGTTGATCAATCCCCTTTTTGGGATGCGGCACGCATTCTACTTCCATTTGTACATTCGCAGTGGCGTTTGAATGCGATGTGGCCTATACAATGACTTGCGGGGGGCCGATGTTCAAGTCAGTGTTTTTATCCTCCCAGACAAGTTAACCGACCCCGGATGGATGAAGGCTTGGTTGGCCCGGGCGACTCACGACCCAGGATTTGATCCCCGGACCGCTCGCGTGGTGAGCGTGCCACTTGCCACTACACCACTTCCGCCGCTTAAAGGATACCAGAAAAAAATCGCGACAGCGCGATACTTTTTTATAATTTTAACTACGCTACTTAACTTTCTATTTTCAGTTCCACATTATGAACCGCCAGTGAAGCTCTCACCCAAAACGTGCTCAGCCCTACAATGCGACTTTGAGGGCGGTTCCTGCCTTCAAACTCTTGATTCTAGTGATTGGAGGATCGTGTAAGAGAGCCAGAATAGGATCGCGAATCCATGGCCATTCGCCACAGTTGAGGTAAGTGGTCAGCAGTTAAGCATGGCCTACCACGCACTTGCGTGCTCGTGTGCATGTCGACGAGGTTAGGTAAGAAGGGCGACCAAGACGAAGTGATTAGACATGGGAGGGCGGCGTCCAGTGATGACGTACTTGAACGTCATTGGTGGAAGAGCGTCGTAAGGCGGTTCCAGCCACACTCCCAGCGCGCTGAGGGTCCAGTCCACCACTGGCCTCGCCACCCTCCGTCCTTATCGCTGCCCGTAAAAGCTACTAACCGAAATCAGGTCATCTACTACCACTTGATCAGTGCAGCTCAGAATCAGGCTCAAATTCTATTCCGAAAATATGCTAGCTTTGGAAAACGAAGAAAAGGGTGATCACCTTTTGAGTTAGGCTCTATTAGAACAAAGAAACCTGAAATCATCGCAAAAAGGTAGCCGGAGCCATCAGTGCTACTAAGTGAAAGGCGATACCTGTGTTGCCGAGCACAAGTTCAAGTTAGGACAGCCAGGTGGAGGCCAAGGGTGACGTCAAATTAATCTGAAAGGACTTCCTGGATGGGCAGTGTGCTACTTCATTATTCATGACTTCCATAGGTGCATTCAACGAATAATTCATTTCCGCCTCCAACAAAAACGACTATGCTGAAAGCTCAGTGCCATGTCTTTTTTAGTGACTTTAAAGCAACACCCCCAGCAGAACCGTGTCGACGAATCGTTCAGTGGGTGGGATAGAGTAGCCCACGAGTAGCACAGATGTGCCGTTGTCGCGGCTCGAAAGTGCGCGACAATGGCGCTAGGGTCTTACAAAGTCAGCATTTGGCGACTAATCTTAGCATTTGGACGAGTTACGTAGCGCACACCCCATGACACGCAACGTGGATTACGGCGTAGCGGCTAATTCAAATACGCGCGGGTTAGTTGAGCCGTGGAGCAGGCAAGTTCGTACAACTCGTCTGGCCCCGCCCCTTCCTTATTTCGAGGAAATCCTTGTTTAGGGCTTCATCGACGGTTTTCTTTGCTTTTTTCCATCTGAGTCAACTCGGTGTTCCATAACTCCATTATCGACCGCTGCTAGCCCAAAAATTTGATCTGGATGTTGCTTTAAGATCACTTCACAAGGTGAAGACAGTGGGTACAGTAACCTGTTTGGAAAAAGCAGAAGCAGTAGTGGCGCAGCAGTGAAGAATGAAGTTGAGAAAAATGAGCCGAAATCCTCCCGTTCGAGGGGTACAGCGATAAATGTCGTCATCACGTAACCGCCCCGCTCTACC